TTGCAATAAGTAAAAATTTCTCTACATTTGAGAAATTTTCAATAGAATAAAGAAAATAATTGTAATCCAGTTAAAATGTTTTCATATAATCTTTAATGTATAAGAAAAAGAATACTCTCAATGCACGAAATATGAATTAAATCAAAGCTAAAAGAAAAATTGTTTTTTTTTTCTTTTTCTATAGTATAATAAACAATTTAGTAATGAATGTTGTCTTTGATCTAAGGTAGATACTTCTGTAATTAAATAGTATAATAATCTTTGAATAAGATCTATTTATTAGAGTTTAATCAAATATTGAATATGAAAAAAATGAAAGTTCTAATTATCCATTAATAAAATGTATATGAACTTATATTAAGCAATAGGTCTTATCTATTATTTACATTGAATTAATCAAGATTTTCTATTATATCAAATAATAGTCTATCTAATCATTCTATATGTTCTTAAAAAAACAAATTCTTTTAATTTTAATGTAAGATTGAAGATATTTGTATATGTTGATAATAATTGTTGATAAAAATGGAAAAAATTAATATCCATATCGATGTTAAAATGGCTATTCCTTTAGCTGGTGTTTCATTGGTAACATTAAAGCTGGTGTTCTCTTTCATAAAATATGTTCCACTCTGTTATATTAATATAAAAGAGGGAAACATTTTTTATGACAGTAAACACTAACGGTAATGTTACCAGTGAAACACCAGCTTAAGGAATACCATCTTGTTTTATAAAAAAATTATTTTATTAAATTTATTAAATACAAAAAATTTATTTCATAGATTATATCTTTTTACACATAATCATATTAATTTATTTCTAAACATTGTTCCTTTACAACAATACACAAAACAAAAAAAAAAAAAAAAAAAAAACAATACTTTTCTCTTTTACTTTTAATATACTAATAATCAATCTATTATTGTTGCAAAAGGAAAATAATCTTTGAAATATTTATCTTTTAAAGGTTTCGAATATTCGAATTTTCCAAATAAAGATAGTTCATTTACTTTGGTACAATTACTTCGTGTATCATCTCTTGTATAATGATGTGTTACTCTTTGTAATGCTTTATAATCGACATCAAGAAGAATATTATTTTGAAAATATGTTTTCGTATTACATAGAAATTCTTCAATATAATCATCATGAGCTAGATGATATATACGAAGTTCAATAAGATAATTATATTTAACAATTGATAAGTTCTGATTATCATTCATTAATTTATAAGATTGTTTATAATTTTGTGCATAACTATTATCAATAGATAATTTTTTCATAAAAGGAAATGATTGAGCAATTCGAATAAAAAATTCATGTTCAAAAGGATATTCATCATATAATGATACTTTACAAACATATCGATATAATCCACCTGGAAAATTATTTGTTACATCTTCATAATGTTTCATTAAAAATGGATATGAATAAATATGACATAGACCCTCTTTATTGTTTAGAAAATAATCAACACAAGATATTGTTTTCGTATATAGAAAATCATCAAATGTTCGTTGAATGTCTTCTTTCGATGGTAAATTCATTTCATTATAAATACATTTACGAGAACGAATATCAAATGTAAATTGTTTTAATTGTGACATATGATTAAGAATATTTTTCGTCAAATTATGTCCATCAATAAATGTTTCTTTAACACAGATCGTGAGATCTAAATCAAGTTCTTCTAAATTTGACATTCGATAAATAAGTGGAAGAATGAATTCATCATAATACCCTGTTCTCATTATACAAGACAAAACAAAACACTTCAGATTTGGAATTTTTCTCTAAAAACAAAAAAAAACAAAAGTAAAAACAAAATCAAATTTATTTTCATTTAAAACCAAACTTGATTTTCAATTTCTCTTAATGGACGAAAAATGTTAGCCAATTCAATATTAAGTGTATGAAGTTGATTGAAACGACCATCAAGAAGATAAAGACATATATCAAAAGTTTGAACTTTGATATTTAATACCAAAAGAGATGAAGAAGAAAAACTAGAAGATGGAATATCAAATAATAATCGAGCATTATTTATATATGAGCCATCGTAAAATATTAAATGAGTTAAATTGATAAACACAGTAAAGATATAATTACAAATGTTTTTCATTGTATACAATTTTTTTTTATTTGAATCAATTGAAATAATAAGTTTTGTAATTTGATTTTTAAAAATAGAAGATATAAGTCGTTCATCTAAACAAAAATAATATTAAACAATATCATGAACTTTTCATATAATCATTATATGAAAAGATAAATGACAAATAATCGAACGACTAAGATAATCATTGATAGATAGAAATATTTTCTAGTTATTAAAAATATTATCTGTTTTATTTTTCTTTACATCACTTTGTATAAATGATTCTTCTCTTTTACAGTTTCATAGTTAAACATAAATTATGAAATGAAATTTATTTAATATATATTCAATGTTCTATTCATCTGAATTAATAATTTTTAAGTGTATATATATGTTTATTTTGGTTAGAATTAAAACAATTGCATTGAGTTTTCCTTACCAATAAAAAGATATCTAGCTGTCTCTTCTTCAATATTCTATATACCGAGTGCATATAAATTAGGATAATCAGCAGCATATAAAATATCTTTCATAGACTCAGATTCAATATCCAGCCATTTGATTTTCATATGAATTTTAGGTAAAATTTGTAAACAAAATCGATTAAGTATAATATGAGGAGGAAATTTATTGATACATTCATTCAATGACCATTTGAGAAAGCTTAAACGACTTGTAAATATTGTATCATGTATAATTTTATTCAATCGTTCATTGACTCCTTGAAAAGAATATAGTAATTCAAGATTGTCCAGTTCTTTGAAAATCATGAGAAGAATTTCATCCGATAAATCATTCAATTCGACACATGAATAATTCATATTTATTTTCATTTATCTGTTTTTGTTGCACATTCGACAAGTCAATATTTATATACTTCTTTTCTTAGGGATCAAATAGACATGACGAATTGAAATTCAATTAATCAATTAGATTCACGTTGTTACATAGAAAAAGCAATTACAGTGGTTAATTCAATTTTTATTTATTCAATTTGACTGATATCATCAACAAGAACAATAGCAATATAGATTGTTTTTTCAATGATCAAGATTGATAATCATTGAATGAATTCATAAAAGGAAGAATGTCTTTATTTCTCATTTGTTTAATATGGTCGAAAACAGACTGAAAAAAATAATAATAAATCGAATAAAGAAATGTGATTAATCTAATTCTGACTTAAATACTTTTTTTTATACAATTTATTCTTTAATTCACTTTATGTTTTTCAGTCTTGAGGTGCCTATATCATATGATAACAATGAATAATTTTCGAATTATTCTTATGTGATCATCATTTCTTTGATTTCCTTCTGAATTGCTTTCTAATATTATGAATTTTAATGACTTACAACTATACTTTTATGTTGAAAATGAAAACGAACTTTTTTAATTTCACCTTACTAAAATTCATTTAAAAAGATTTCATTTAGTTTTATTTTCAAAACATTCTACTAAGAAGGTTTGGGGTGTGGGTGAACAGTGAAACAACAATAACACCCACCAACACCCATATTCACACCCACACCTACACCCATACCCATACTCATACCCACCACTACACCCACAGCCACACACTCACACCCACACCCACACTCACACCCACACCCACACCCACACCCACACTCACACCCACACCCACACACCCACACCCACACCCACACACCCACACCCACACACCCACATCCACTCCCTCTTTCCTTCACGCTCACTTACTTCGATCATGTCGGCAAGAACAAGCTGGAAAATATTATGAATAGTCTCAAATTTTCAAAAGAATGAATGCTATTCTCAAAGAATCTCTTATCATTATTCATAAACTAATGTCTTTTTTTGTATGTTGAAATAAAAAGTTGAAAGCTAATAAAAATAATGAAAATGTAATGAAAGATTTTTGAAACTCTAGCTGTATTCAGACTTTTGAAGAAGTAATTTTCCCTCATAAATAATCCTATTTCAGACGTTACTTTCACAGAAAAAACTATACTAACAGGAAATTTTGGAAGCCACTGTAATTATTATTAAAGCAAATGAAAACCATCTATTTGAAAATACAGAACTTTCCAGAAAAAATAAGGGCGTGGGTGTGACTTCGACTGCGAACATAAGTATTTTTCAAAAATGAATGTTATCAGAAGTCACTAAGACATCCATACTCCGGTATTGCATGACTAGTCTTTCTCGAAAAAAACAACAAACATAAGTATCAGAATGACGACCACCGATGAAACAGTTAAGATATGTTCTGTGGACTGCAAATGATTTCGAACCTGTCGTATGCAAGGAGTTTCTGGCAAAAAGACTAAACAAGACATACTTTCATGATTAGAAAAAACTGTTTTGCTAATTCTCTAGAAACTGTTTTTTTAATGTACACTTGAAAATATTTCTTCTTCATTATTTAGTTATCAGTATAGAAATTCAAGAAGAAAATAGTTCATTTACACTCACTATTTTCGAAGAAAATATATGTGAGTTCCACAAAAGATGTCTATTTAACAAATGATAATTATTTTCCCTTATAGTTATAGTTACTTTTATTATCTTTCTGTTTATATTAATCACCATTTTATTTGCTATTTAGTAAAAAAAGAAGAAGTGAGTGTGGCTATCGCGACGATCTATATCCATACTCACAACCATTTCCGTTTAATGACTTGGAACAAGTTAAATACCATTTCAATAAATGATCAGATTGATATTAATTTAGTTTCACAAAAAGACTTGATTAGAAATTTTTATTGCATCTTGAAAATCTATGAAATGTATTTTGATTAAGAGAAATATAGAATTTTGTAGAAAATTCAAATCTGAATGTTTTGATTGCGAATTTGTTTGGAAATATCAAGAAAACATTGAGATAATGGAAAGTATTTACATCAAAATCTATTATTTTGTAGTTGTTATTTAAAAGTATATACCTATTAGGATTCCAAAGTTGCTGAAAACAGGATATGCTGCAGTAAATACTTTTTAATAAACGATTTTGGTAGCACATTTGATAGAATCTCTGCGTATATAAAATTACATCCTGATCTGTTTATTAATACAATAGATGAAAGAAGTTTATAACATCAAGTAATTATATTATTTGTAATTACTTTTGATAATCATTAATTTTATCATCCACACAATATCAAATCATTATCAATAAAATTTCGTCTGTCTCTAAAAATCCATTGAACGATAGTTTAGTTAATTGAATGGAAAATTATTTTTAGTTATTACTGTGAGAGTTGAAATCATGACTTGCAAATGTAAACTAAAGTGGATAAAAAACGTTTAGTATACTATTTTACTAGACAAAAATACTTTCTTCGGTGGAAAAATTTTAGCACATGTTTAGTGTGTAGCTGATTTTTTCATTATTTTACTATAGTTGAAAATTGTTTTATTCATATACTATTCGATGCAAAATTTAATGTGCTACATTTTAGTAAATATTGGAATATGAATCAATTAGTAATTATTGATAGTTAACAGTTAATTAATGCAATTTTAAGTTTCTGTGTATGTCATATGAGCGAACAATAAAAATGAAACAAAAATGAATTAATACTATTTCAAAATGGATCGTATCGATAAGCTTTTCAGAGTGTGTACACTTTTAATTAGATGTAGTATTCATTAGTTTTAACGAAGTCAACTATAAAATGTAATTTTAAATTAGAAAAGTTTAATAGGATTTGAAAGAGTAGATTTTCTCCTTCAAACTAAATATTCCGGTTGACACTGCAGGATACTATTCAAACTTTACAACGCTTTCAAATTATCTGATACAAGAACAACAGAAAAATAGTTGGAAAATATGAATTAAATTACTTTATTATAGAAAAAGGCAATGAAGAAGTTGCATAGTATCATGCGGTGAGAGCCGCGATGTTTAGTTTCAAAGAACAACTGTGGCTGTTCAAGTCCTATTAACTTTTTCTAATTTAAAATTTCATTCCATATTTGAATTAACTCAAACTAATGAATAATACATCTAATTAAAAGTTTACATGCTCGGAAAACCTCATCAAGATGATTCATTTCAAAATAACATTAATTTAGTTTTGTTCCATTTTTTTTCTCTTTCACACGGCATACACAGAAATTAGAAAGATTTTCAAAGTCGCATTAATTAATCATTAATTATTGATAGTTACTAAATGATTCATATTCCAATATAAGAATGCGTATTTTATATCAAAATGTAGTCCATTAAATTCTACATCGGATGATATATAAACCAATTTTCAACTATAGTAAAATAATGAAAAACAAATCAACCATATGTGAAAAGTGTGCGAAACTTTCTTTCTCGAATTTATCTTGTAAGCAACTTCTTTTTGTCAGAATTAAGATTAGTACTTGTATGATAGTTGATCTGTACTCTCAATAACACTTTTTCCGTCTTTTATGAAGGATAAATTCGATAGATTTGTATAACTTGTCTTCTTTTGTTCTGAAAAACCAAGTTCATGTAGGAAAAGTGTATAAAATTGTTTTTGAAGCCTCGATAAGATGAATAAATTATTTCTATTGAGTAGGGACTTATCTCTAATAGGATTAGAGTTATAATTGAAATACTTGATTTTTATGACAAGCATTCTTGTTGTCTCTGTTCTGTTTTTTTTTGTATTTTATCATTTTAATATAATCGTTTAATTGACTTTAAGAAAAAGATTAACTTGACTGAAATTTAGCAAATATTTCATTGATAAATTGAAACAATGAAATAAAAAAGAGAACCAATTTTCTATTTATTAATATCTAAATCCTTCAAGTATTTTAATCTGTTTTATTCGATTGTAGCGGAGAAAAATATTTTAAGGTCAATCATAAATAACACTCAAAGAGATTATTGCAATCAATACAACAATTTCTCAGTGAGGTTAAACAATTAAGTATGTCGTTCTCAAATTAATGACAGAATAATGATGTAACATATTCTTGTTCCTCAGCTTTAGTATTTCTTATGGCATACTTTTAAAATGTACATAAAAAATAACTTATTTGAAGAAGAATTTTTGTATCATCACTTTTGCTTCATGATAACGCAATGTATGCGATGCTTGTCTGTTTTAAATGTATATTATTTTTTCATGTAAGTCTTTTGATTTAATTATGCTGATAATGTGCTGACTATCATTAAAATGAAGTAGTACTGAGAAACAATTATATTTCAAGCACGAGAAACCTATCTGATTCTCGTTTACATTGTCTATGAACAGAAAAACGATGACTTTCCTATTCTACCCCTACAGCTCAATCTTTTGTATTATCTTGAAAGAAAATGCTTTTTATATTCACGTTCATCCTTCTTCAACATTCTTATTAATTTCTCTCTATCTTCAGTTGTACACTATCAGCAAAATGATATTTAATAACACGGAACATATTCTGAATATGACACAATTATCAAAGTCAATTATTAATGATCTTAATCTTGTTACAGAAAGATTTGTCATCCATCTTCCATTTATTTTTTTTATCTTTGGTTTGATTGGATTCATTGGAAATCTTTTCACCTACCTTCATGCTGCACTTCGTTCGAATACTTGTTGTATTTATTCACTCTGTGGTTCAATAATTGATATAATCAATCTTTCTCTCAATTTATTTGCAAGATATCTTTCTCAAAAATATGCAACTCATATTTCATGGTATAGTTCACGTGTTACATGCAAACTTAATATTTTTCTTCTTGCATTTCTTCCTCATTTATCAATTAATTTTTTGCTCATGGCTACCATCGATCGATTTGCTTGTACATGTAAACTTACATCGCCTATACATCGGCTTAATCAACTTAAAACAGTACCATGGATGATCATTATTACAATTATTTCTAGTTGTATTGCATCAATCTATTCAGCTATTTTGTATGATCTTGTGGATGGATCACAGTGTATTTCTACACAACCGCAACTGAATAGTATTTTGTATATAATATTGGGTGGTGTGATGCAACCATCATTGATGTTGATTTTTGTATTACTTACTCGTCGAAATGTAAATCACAGTAAACGACGTGTAGTGAGTATATTGATTTATTTTTTGATAGGGAAAAATATAATGTGTTATAGGGTAGAGTTACAGCGACACGAGGACCACATTTGCAAAATCAATTCATTTTAATGATATTTTCTCAAGTGGTAGTAACAGCTTTCTTATTATTACAATGGATTATTCCCGGTGAAAAATATTCCGAAGAAAATCCAGATTATTTTTGATTAGCGACTGACAAATCCGATTTTTCGAACAAAGCTTCTACTTTTTCTAGAAGAATCCGATTAAAATCGATTAAAATGTTATANACCAGGAAGTAGGAAATTTTTAGGCATAGAATATTAACCCTTTGGGGACGGGGTTTTTTTTGAAAAAATTAAGGTTTTTATCAAAATTCAAACAAATACTTACTCATTTAAAAATCATTAGCAAGAATGTTTTACGATACGATAAGCTGAAAAGCAATCAATTATACACAACCTAACAAATGAAAATTACTCTTTAGACTATTTCCACTCAGTTCTAATTAATTTGGTGTATATGCCATCCTCGAATTTTGAGAAATAGTCGAAGTGGTATATATACCACGCCCGTCCCCAAAGGGTTAATAAATGCTATGAAATAATTCATAGTTACATTACGCTTTTTTTTCTATTTTGAAATGAAAAAAAAGAATCAATGAACGGAAAGAACTCTAATAATTATTTATTATCAAAAAAATGATAAGGAGTTTTAAAGAAATAGAAACGAAACTCATTCAATACAATAACACTCATACAAAATCTTTTCTTATAGACTTCTATATAAGCAGATTATTCAAGTAGGTATTATTGAAAAGTTAGAAAGCTTTATTAACATTCCTTGATCTTGTTCTAATAAATTTTTTGAAAATTCTCACTCATTTCAGTTACTATTATTTTCCTATAGCATCTTACACATAAAAACCATAATAATAAATATCATATTAATCATTAATCTCTTTAATATCAAGGCTCTAAATCCAAAATGATCGTTTTCATTTTCTTGATTTTCAAATAAATTGCGAATATAAGATATCAAGATATGAGATTCGATATTCTATAGACTACACTTTGGAGTATAGATTATTTTAAAAATTATGATCCTAATGAGATCTTACATCTACGTAGTAGACTAGATGATTTTGTCAAAGACTATATCTATAAAATTGTACTTTATACACTACATCAGTACTTAAAGGATTAAGTACATCATTTTTGTTTGTTCAAGAATAATAACTGTTATGATATCTCTTTTATTAATAAATTTCAGTTACATTAAGTAGGATATAATTAAGAGTCAGTGATATTTTTAGAAGAATATCTTTACTATTCAAATGATATGCTGTATTTTATCTTATGTGTAGGAAAAAAAGACAAATAAATTCATACTAAGTGTTAAATAGATGATAGAAATAATAGTTGTGAGACTTTTTTGGCAATTAAAAGAATCCAGATAGTACTATTAAAGTAATATCTTTAGAAAGAAATTTTTGGCATTAGATATATCAATAAACATAATTATTCTTGACAAGAAACCAGTCCTAAATGGTAAAATAGAGCGACATATGCAAGCAAGACACTATATATAACAATATAACAGAATGGAAAGTATTGTGTTTAATGTTGAGGAAATATAGCTCCCAAAAGTACTTCTCTTTGCATATTTTGTTTAAATGTGAAGATAATTAAGTTTTATTAGTAAAATATACTAAACATTGTTCCAAGTTTTTTCATTCTTCAATAATAATAAACGATTAAGATTAAGATATTAAAATGAAACTTTATAAAAGAAATTTATTTTATTCTATTTAAAAATTTTTATGTACTTTGTTTTTATTGTGAATAATTGTAAAATATCTTATGAGAAGATAATATATAACAAAAAGTAACTCGTACTAATTTGGTTAATGATGATTATTATTCATTTGTTTATCTGAAAAATATTTCTTGTGAGTTTTTTTTCTCTTTATAGTCGTGCGTAGATTTGTCATAATAGTTTTTAATGGTCTATAATAATAGTAATACTATTACTAAACTATTGGTTTTTCTTTTCTATTTATTTTCTAAGATTCGTATATTTAAAATTGTGTTGAACAGGAAGGATATTTTCAATGAATAATATGATCAATTATGATAATATTATGAGTGTTGTGATGACATCCAGTGGCGGCGGAGCCTTTAGGCTTGGGGAGGCTCAAGCCTCCCGTAAAAAAGAATTGGGGAGACTCAGATATTTGAAAAAATTTTTACAGATCTCATTCTGGTTTTATTTTTCGGAAGTGATAACCATTTGAACAAGTATTACTTGTTTTTTTAGGAAAAGATTATGTTCAGTCCGATATTGGGCGACAGACATTTATAACTGTATTATTTCCGACACATTTTGTATCGAAATGTCCCAACAGATTAAAATGAAGCTACTAAAACCGATTTAAAATCAAATTTTCTTTTTCTGTTCGATAGATTAAAGGGCGAGAAATCTGTTGATAAAAGATTTTTTTCTAAAGACCTTCTGGATCAAATAAAAAACTAAAAATAAAAGGGCAAGAGTGTCATCCACACCTTTACTCCCATAGGATATGCATGTATATGTGCCGATAAAGCTCTGCATATGCTCATTAGATTCTCCTTTTCAAAAGCTTTCGATTGATATCTAATAACAATATATAAATAATTATTTAGTGATTTTATTTTCTCAAAATATTTCTAAAATTATTTATTTTATTCTGTCAAGATATCTCGAAAAATATGCATTTTTTAATAAAACTCGATTTTTTTCCTAAACGAAAAACCTGATAGTTGAAAAAATACTTGATTTATATACAACAAATGGAACTCTATCAAATGTACGGCTCAAAATTTTCCCTATACTAACTTTTTTTTTCGATGTTTTTCTTCAAACCGTACAATACGGGTGCAATTCACCCATATATGCAAAACAAAAAAGTGCTTTCTAATACTTTTATTCTGTTCAATATGAAGCGAACTAGCTATCCCATAGGTTGTTTGCTTTAAGCAAAAGAAGAAATCTTTAAACCAAATCAATACAAGTCTTCTTGTATAATTTTTGTAGAGCATTTGATGACACGCCTTTTCAAAAGCATTCATTAATTTATCATTTTCCTAAGCCAATATATATGCCAAACAAAATATGTTGTAGTCACTTTAATACATGTGGTAATAATGACATATCTATAGAAACTTGTTATTTGTTATCTTTGTTTGTGAAAGACTGTAGCAATGGCATGAACAATTCTAAGATTTTTATCTACACTATGATCCCTACCTATCAATATAATATGACCTTGAAAGGAAGTTATCAGTTGAATATGTTCCCATATAAGTAATGAAAAGATAAATTTTATTTTACATTTTCTTTTTTCTTTTTTCAAAAATTTGTTTAAAATTTGAAATTGGAGACCATAATCGAAACTATTTTTCATTTTTTTTAAATAAATATTTATCTTCCATTGCAAATGATTTTTACATAACAATATTCTTCTCATTAATACTGATAAATAAATATGCATAAAATCAAGACAGATCAAACTAATTTCGAATGCTAGAAATAAGGTGAACTTAGTTTGTATCCATATGGTATAGAATTGAAATTCCTGTATCAACGCTTAGATTGCTTGTATTATTAAAATAATTTTATTAAATAGAATAAATTTATTTCACAGATTATATCTTTTTACACATGATCATATTAATTTCTTTGTAAACATTGTTTCCATACAACAATACACAAAACAAACAATACTTTTCTCTTTTACTTCTAATATAATAATAATCAAACTATTATTGCAAAAGGAAAATAATCTTTACAAGATTTTGAATACTCGACATCTATGAATAAATATAGTTCATTTACTTTGGTACAATTAATTCGTGTATCATCTCTTGTAAAATTATGTGTTACTCTTTGTAACGCTTCATAATGAGAAACAAGACGAATATTATTTTGAAAATATGTTTTCGTATTAGATAAAAATTCTTCAAAATAATCATCATGAACTCGATCTATCTGAAGTTCAATAAGAGAATAATATTTAACAATTGATAAATTCGATTTATCATTCATTAATTTATAAGATTCTTTCTGATTTTGTGCATAACGATTATCGATAGATAATTTTTCCATAAATGGAAATGATTCAGCAATTCGAATAAAAAACTCATGTTCAAAAGGATATTCATCATATAATGATACAAAACGAACATATGGATATAAACCACCTGGAAAATTATTTGTTATATATTCATAACGTTTCATTAAAAATGGATATGAATAAATATGACATAGACCATATTTATACGGCTCTTGAAAATAATCAACACAAGATATTATTTTAATATATTGAAAATCATTGAATGTTTGTTGGATGTCTTCTTTCGATGGTGAATTCATTTCATTATTAATCAACATATCAGAACGAATATCAAATGAAAATTCTTTTAATTGTGACATATGATTAAGAATATTGTTCTTCAAATTCTTTCCATCAATAAATGTTTCTATAACAGAGACCATGAGATCCAAACCAAGTTTTTCCAAATTTGACATTCGATAAAGAAGTGGTAGAATTAAGTCATCATAATGCAAGGTTTTCAAACCACAAGATAAAACAAAACACTTCAGATTTGGGATTCTCTTCTAGAGAAACAAAAACAAAAATAAACTAAAATTTATTTTCTTGTAAAACTAACTTGTTTTTCAAATTTTTCTCCTGGAAGAAAAATGTTAGCCAATTCAATATAAAGTGTATGAAGCTGATCGAAACGACCATCAAGAATATAAAGACATCCAGAAAAATTTTGAACCTTGATATTTAATATCAAAAGAGATGAAGAAGAAAAAGTAGGAGATTGAATATAATGTAATAATCGAACATGATTTTTATATGAGGCATCATAAAATGTTAAATGGTTTAAATTGATAAACACAGTAAAAATATGATTACATATGTTTGTCATTGTCCAATCTTCATTTTTATCAGGATCAATACTAATGATAAGTGTTGTAATTTGATTTTTAAAAATAGAAGATGAAAGCCTTTCATCTAAACACATAGATAATATTAAACAATATAATCATCTTTACATATACTGATTATATGTCAAAGATTAAAATAAATAGTCAAAAGACTAAGATAATCTTAGACAGAAAGGAATTTTTCATTTAGAAATAAACTCTCCTTTAAACATAGTCCAAAATAAATTTATTATGGAGTAATGATCATTACTTTTTAAATATTATTTTCTACTCATTAAAAATATTTCTGTTTTATTTTTCTTTATATCAATTTGTGTAAACGATTTTTCTCTTTTACAGTTTCATAGTTAAACATAAATTATGAAATGAAGTTTATGTAATATATTCAATGTTCTATTCATCTGTATTAATAATTTCAAAGTATTCATATCTTTACTTTGATTAGAATTAATGCAATTCAATTCAGATTTCCTTACCTGTAAAAAGACATATAGCTGTCGTTTCTTCGATATTATGTAGGCCGAGTGCATATAAATGGGGATAATCAGCAGCATCTAAAATATTTTTCATAGATTCAGATTCAAGATCCAGCCATTTGATTTTCGTATGAATTTTAGGTAAAATTTGTAAACAAAATCGATTAAGTATTATATGAGAAGATAATTTATTGATACATTTATTGAATGACCATTTGAGAAAGCTTAAACGACTTGTAAATATTGGATCATATATAATTTTATTCAATCGTTCATTGACTCCTTGAAAAGAATAAAGTACTTCAAGATTGTCCAGTTTTTTGAAAATAATTAGAAGAATTTCATCCGGTAAATCGTTCAATTCGACACATGAGTAGTTCATATTTATTTTTATTTATCTGTTTTTGTTCCACATTGGAAAAGTCAATATTTATATACTTCTTTTGTTAGGGGTCAAACAGACATGACGAATTGAAATTAAATTAAGTAATTAGTTTCGCGTTGTTACATAGAAACAGCAATTACATTGTTTAATTCAATTTGACTGATATCGTCAACAAGAACAAGAACAATATATTTTTTTTCCAATGATCGAAATTGATAATGAGTGAATGAATTCATAAGAGGAAGAATGTCTTTATTTCTCTTTTCTCATTTGATTAATATGGTCCAAAAGAGACTGAAAAAAAAATAAGTCGAATAGAGAAATGTGATTAGTCTAATTCCAACTTAAATCGTCTTTTTTTGGACGATTTATTATTTAATTCAGTTTTAATTCACTTTATATTTTTCAGCCTTGAGGTGCTTACTGCTTATATCATGTGACGAAGATGAACAATTTTCGAATTATTCTTATGTGATGATCATTTCTTTAATTTCCTTCTGAATTGGTTCCTAATATTATGAATTTTAATAACTCACAATTTTACTTGTATGCAGAAAATGAAAACGAACTTTTTTAATTTTTCATTACTAGAATTCATTTTGAAAGATTTTACTTTGTTTTATTTTCAAAATATTCTACTAAGAAGATTTGTCACAAATTTTAGTTAATGAACATTAAATTGCATATCATTGATTATCTTCTTTATGATGAATTTTACAAACCTTCAAACGACATTTTTCTTCTTCAACAAATCATCTATTAACAATAAGTTCGAGATATTTCAAACATTAATTGCAATAAGTAGATGCATCTGATTTCATATAAAATGGACTTTTCAAAGCTGAAATCAATCATCATATAGAATGAGTTAATAGAAAAATTTTGAAAGAAAACATAATCTATCATATATAGAATAATTTTGAGCAAGTTACTAACAGCTGTTTATCTCAGATGACTCATCTGATAGCACACTGACTATGTGTTTAACATACACAAAAACTTCATGTAGCTTCTATATGGTTAGATAGTGTCTATGGTGAGCTTAAGTGACTAAGCGGAAGCACTTTGAGTCAGATCGACCATTTGTCTAGGGCTACAACTAGTAATAGTTGTAGGAATAATATCGGACTTACGAAATGGTCTCCGAACAGCACTCTACACCGCAAGATAGGCGAAAGGCAGGAGATTTTTCTTCTATTTTTTGATTCTTAAATACGTTTTATTTAAAAAAAAAAGAGAATATACATGCACAAGATACAGCATGAAAAGTTCTACGATCTGCAATGTAAAGCTTATTTTAATTGTGTAGTTTTTGTTTTCCAAAAAAAAACAATTCTGTGGGATCAAGTTTCGTCCTTTTGAAAACCTGTCGCACAGATTTTTGTTTTTTTTTTGAACATAAAAAGCATATGATTAAAATAAACTGTTGTTTGTAAACTGTGAGCTTTTCACATTGCATCTTGTGGTATGTTCTCTTTTTTAATTTAAATGTATTTAAGAATCAAACTATGAAATGCAAAGTTCTGTTATGTATTATGGGTCACCCGTTATATTGAATATTATTCAAAGACTGATTGCATCAATAATAAACATGGGTCTTATTGAACTTGCAGTCTCTTCATCGTGGATGCACAACTGACAAATTTGACGCTTGATCCGAG